TCGTGAAGCCAAAAAGACCCGAGATGAACTTGCACCCTCCTTTTCCCTCTTTTGTGTTCCTCCCTGCAAAATGTCCCTGTCCCCAGCCCCCAAACAGAGCCTATTCCCTCACGTAAAAAGGTCTCCTATTGTATAATTCTGTTATTTCTTTTATAAATGGGGAGAAAATGAAAGGAAAATGTTTCAGGAAGTACCATTAAAGAAATGTAGATGGTGCTTTCTTTAAGTTCTGATTCCAGAGAAAATAAGTTTCTGAACAATTTGACCCCTGTTTAAGAAGACATTATAAGGAGATAAAACTACATTCTAGACAAGACAGCAAAACCGCACCAGGCTGTGCCCACCCCTCTAAGCCTAAAGATCCACAGAAGTGAAGAACTAAATGCAGCTATTTTTCTCTCTTATTTAAAACAAATTAAAATTCTGCACACTTGAAAATAAGGCAAACAAGATTTATCACATTCTCATGCTACTCTGCAGCCCTACCCCTAACAAGCCAAGGAAAATATTTGGAATTGTATCTAAATATTCCATGGTTGCAAGTTTGTTGTTGTTATTGTTGTTTGTTTGTTTGTTTTTCAATAGAAAACCAATGTCTAATGTTTCAAGCTTTCAAAGGAATGCAGAACTTGGGAGTTTTCAGGGCTGATTTCAAACAACTGGCAGATTATCAAGACTAGCTATCAGTGCAAAGCCGGGGCAGGAAGCACTGAGAAACCCCAGCCGCCCTCCCTCCCTCCTGAAGGATTGTGTTCCAGGGCCTGCATGAGCACGGTATGAGGGGTGATGATGCTTTTTAAGAATTTGAGTGTCCACAGTTTTAAAAGTATCCTTCACCCTCTAGAAGCCCCTTTTCTTTGCCCACTCCTCATCTCTCCCGTTTTCAAGAATATTCTCTTCTGACAACACAGCCAATACTGACCCAGCTAGACTCTTGATGGGAGGCGCAGGCTGGGCTGCAAAAGGTGGTCAGCGTAAAGGGGGTGAGGTAGTTTCTGATCAGGAAAGGCTCCAAACATCATCTAAGTGCCAGCAGCCAGGAGAACCCTATTGGTGTGAACCTCTCCTTCAAGATTTTCTGGGGGAAACCAAATGGCCAGGGAAGGGAGCAGAGTTCTGATTCCTGGGCCTGTAGCGGAAGCCTGTGGGCCTGGACTGTTACATAAAAGCCAGGAAGGAGACACCTGCTGGGGGCTCTTGCTGAAGTTTGAGGACCATGACTAAAGTTTTCCAAATACCACATAAGAGAGAAATAGCCATCTCTCAACCTCAGGATCCAGGAATACCAGTTCACCAAGCAGTGAGCAAACACAGCACCCTCCCCTAGCTTTCTTCTTTCAAGTAGTTTGTTGTCTGTTTGGTGTTTTACTGTTGTTGTTAAGAAACATCCTTACCCAAAGTGCCTCAGATTCACAGTAAAAATATACCTGGAGTCTCAGAACCCAACCAACAGTGGATTTTCTGGGAAAAAAAAAAAAGTGGGGTTGCAAGGGTCAAATGCCATTTTGTATTTCGCCTGTAAGATAATGCACTATTTTCAGATTTCTCTCTCTGGAGCTGTGGATTGGTCTCTGTACCCTTCCAAGCAGCAGTTCGCTATGGAAATCTTTTAAAACACGAGTCACATCACTTGTCTAAATATTATAGCACGTCATGAAGGTTGTACATTCTGCTGTGAGCGAAAGCAATGCCCCTCCTTGAGACTGTTTCTCTAGTAAGGAAAAAAATCTCAGCCCCCAAATATAGAGAGACAGAACATTTAGAGATACGAGCACAGCACAGCAGCATTGCTACAAGTCATAGCTACAGATGAGTGTTCATGTCATTCAAACACACGTCATTCCATGCACTTTTTGCCATTTACTAGTTAATATATTATTTAGGCTACAAGTATGTTTTTTTTTTTTTTTCTTATAAAGCATGTTGAGCCTCTGGAAAATTATTCTAGGAGATGAAACAGAAATAGCCAATTTCTATTTTTGTCTTATTAAGCAAAGTAGAAAGTTAGGTTCTCACTGGGAAAGGAGAAGAAAGAAAGCAGGAAAATGCCACCACCTCCCCGAATTTCAATATGCTTTTGAGGGCATGGAAGACCTGAGCCTTGATTTTTAGAAAATTAATTCCATGTTATTTTCACACAAGAAATTAGAAGTTAAGTCTAGCATTTTGCCATTTAAATACAAAGCAGAGCCCAAGGTTTTGTTTTTGTTTGCTTTATGTTTTCTGAAAAGTATACTAAACATTGTTTTTAACTCTTTAAAAATCCTGAAAATCCCTCCTTTTCTCTCTCCCCCTTTCTCTGTCTCTGTCTCTCTCTGTCTCTCTCTGTCTCTCTCTCACACACATACACACACACACACACACACACACACACACACACCTCTTGTATAGAGTAGGAAGAAAAACCACTTAACCTTAGGCAACCTTTAAGGTCTGTTACCCCTGGCATGTGATTTTGACTGACCATAGGATTTTATGTCTATCAAACATATGAATTCTTCATATGTGAGCATGGTTTTCGTTAGCTATGACCGTAAACTTGAGTTGTAACTGGACAGCAATGCTAGAACAGTGGATTTCTGTGAACTCCATCTAGGCTCATCAAATTAATACAAGCACAACGCCCTTCCTTTTAACTGGTTGTGAATTCTTTTCTGAGATAGGTATGTGTGGAAAGGGCAAAGGTCATGCAGGAACTGTGCTCTACTGTCCTCCAAGCCCCTGGCAATGCTTCCTTGTATCGGATTAACTCCCCCAGAAAGTCCCTGCATGCTCAGACAGAGCTACACACCAATACTTCATCCAAATCCAACATTTCCCATCTTCAGCTTCTTGGGATGTCATTGGTGCCTGCAATTCCAGAAGCCCCAGAGCCATCTCTAACAACTCTGCTGCCATGCTGAAAATTCTACAGCATAATGATGATCAACATGGGCTGCCATGAGAGGCTAAGCAGCTGATCCTACATCTCTTCCTGGTCCTGATGTGATCACCCAAATATCAACTTAGGATGCTTCATGGAGCTAACTTCTTAAAAAATGCCAGACTCTGATGGCTTTTGCTGGCTCGGAAGTGACAAGGCACAGACGCTGCCAGGGACCGCAGGGCCCTAAAGTCACACAGGACCCCAACAGACTTGAAAACCCTCCCTCTGTTTTCCTCAGGATCCACACTTCTCACCACTACTGCATTCTTTCTTCACCCCATTTCTCTCTCTCTGTCTCTTTCCCTCCTTCTCTCCCTCCTTTCCTCCCTCTCCAAGGATGGCTCACCCAGTACCCTGTAGCTTCACCTCTACACAGTATTCATTATTTCCCTCTGGTAATAGGTTAAAAGCAATCTAGGAGGAAAACAAAACAAAACCTCCAACTATTTTACTCACTTCAATCAAAAGTTTCTCTCGTGGTTGTACACACCACTAGAAAACCAGAAGCAGCACAAAGCAGGATTTGGGAAACATTTGGAAAAATTTAGCCAAATGAGTAAAAGGTTTGGAATGTTTGATATTTTTCAGGCAACCCTTGAGCTTATTGTTTTTGTTTCTTTGGGGGGAGAAAAGCGACTGTGAATATTTCTTTTCTTCTTTAAACTTAGCTGACCGTTTCTTTAAAGAAAATACCAGGCAGCATTCTCTGCCGAGTGGCCCGAAGAGTTAACACTCAGGGCACCAGGCAGAAGGGCTGGTCTATTTAAGCAGTGGCAGCCCAAACTAAGTGGGCACAAAGGCAAAAGGCAACCAACGTGTGAGTCGACCTTGGAAGGGAAGGGAAGAGCACAGGAGCACTCGGAGGGGGAAATGGAAAAAGAAACACCAGCTTTTAATGCAATCCTGAGAGGCCGTTGTCCACTCCAGTTACCAAATGGGCATTGTCTGATGAGCCGGGATAAGTGAGCGATAGCCTCAGCGTGAATCGCCAGACCCTGAGCATACCAGGGAGCAGAGTGACAGCACATCTTACTCAGGCAAGCCTGGCTTGCTCTTGCATGTGGAGTTACTCAGCCGATGGAGCGGTCTGGTTAATGCGGTACGAAATCAGACTGTCCACGCACTTGAGGCGATTCGTGCACAGACATTGTACCCCTTCCCCACATCAAGTCCAATCGAATCGACAGATTGGAGCACTGATTTCTCACCTAACAGTCCTTTCATGTCTTAACTGCAGGATAAAAGTTCGGGGTGGGCACTGCCCCCTGCTCAGTTTTGTGGGCTTGCCTCTGGCCCCTAATGATCACTTAAGCACAGGCTCACACAAAGCCCAAAGTCTTTAACCAATTCAAGTCCAATTATTATCAGTTACATTCCATGCCTTTCTCAGACCCAGACTTCCTGAGGGGGGCTGAGGGGTGGCCATGGGGGAACCGTCTAAAAGTAAAGACCTGGAGCTTCTAGTTCTGTTAGCCCGTAGCATCTCAGGAATCTTTCACAGAAAATGAAGACAGCCAGACCAAAAACACACACTCAACAAACTCTGAAAGACTTCGGTGGAAGCTCTGAAAGCTCCCCAAGCCCTTCTTTCATGCTGCACTAGGCCATAAAAAGTTTAAGTGGCCCCCACCCCAGAGCATTTTTCTGTAAGGAAGGGGAGAAGAAGCAGGGTGGGGGGTGGGGGGTTACCCAAATCTTTGAGGTTCACACACAAAGAACAGCTGGCTAGAAAAGCTCCTGAAGTCATGTTCTTGTCCCTGAGAATGTCTGCCGGGACCTCCTTTCTAAAAATCCCTGCTCACCTGCAAAAGACTTTAACCACCTCACCAGCATTTCTGCAGCTAAATAACAAAAGAACGCTCCATTGAAAGTGCCCGGTCTTTAAAGGGAAAGCTACACTCCGGGTTTCCTCTCCCTTCCTCCTCTGCCTGGTTAACTCCATTCGCACTGTTAGTAATTTGAAAGAGGTTCGCAGAGGGGCCGGGGCCGAGGGCGAGGGCAGGGTCCGCTTGCCATGCCCCTGAGGCGCGCCAGACCCCACTCTGCCTTCCGAAGCCCGTGGGTCCAGCCATACCTTGGTTTGGAGGTACTGAGGACAGTAGTACGTGTACTGGGGGTACATTTGTGGCTGATCCAGGCGTTTGCCCATGTAGCTGGGATCTTTATCTCCGAGGCAGGAAACTGAATAACAGGGTGTGCGATGCCCCAGGCGAGCTTCTTTCTCTTAATCCACTGTCTGCGAGGACGGCTGGAGCTTCGGAGACTCCACCACTCACTAGTCCCAACAACGTAAGGAATGTAAAACAACCAAAAACCAAAGCAAAGCAAAACAAAAGAACCAAAAGAAAAGAGGGGAGGGGGAAGAAAAAAACAGATGGGGGCCGAGATCCGTTGAGAAACCCCCAGACAGCGTCCCCAGTTCTTGCCTGCCTGGTTCCTCCCAGCAGCCCGGTCCAGTCCGGATGAAGCAGTTTGCTCCGTAACCAGCCTGTCTCTAGTGGTGTCAATCGCAGGCGCTTGTAAAGGCGAAGAAGGAGGAAAAAAAAAAAAAAATCCTTTAGCACAACTCGAGAATCCTTGCAGTAGAGCTTTCCGTCTCTCGTGTCTCTCTCCCACCACGGAAAAAGAAATTATTTTTTAATGAAAGGAAAAAGAAACAATGAGCAAAAAGAAAAAGGAAAGGAAAGGAAAGGAAAAAAACTGGGGGGGGGGGGGAAAAAGAAAAAGAAAAAAAATAAAGAAAAAGAAAAAGAAACCCGTGCAGGCTTAGTTGCTGCTGTCTGGTTCCCAGAGTGACATGGTGTGTTCCGGCTGGCCTTGCCCCTCTCATTCACTTCCCCTCCTTCCAGCCAGTGGGTGGAACCGAGAGAGCCTCTCCAGGGAGCCGCGCACGCAGTCCAGAAGGCTGCAGTATTTCCTCCAAGGGGGGAGAAAGAGAAGAAGAAGAAACAGAAAGAAAGAAAGAAACAGGCTGCTGCCGCCCCTCCGCTGGCTGTCTGGAAGAGCAGAGTGAGCGGGCGTCTGCAGCGGAGCCGCGGTGGAACCGAACCCCAGCCTGCCTGTGCAGAGCCTGGGTGGGGCACGGCCCAGCCCTCCCTGCCCTGGACGGGCTGGGGCTCCCAAGCTGCCTTCTCCTCATGAGTCGCCAAGTTCCCAGAGGTGAGGCATTGCTGAGCAAAACAGACCCTGCCAGGGGAGCAGGAGGAAGGAGAAAGTGTGTGTGTGTGTGTGTGTGTGTGTGTGTGTGTGTGTGTGTGTGTGTTTTCACACCCACATGCCAACCTTTCTAGTTACATGGGGAGAAAAGTGCGTTCAAGGCTTTTTCAAAATCTGTTAACACATTAAAACCCACATGAACCCAGGACCGGAAGATGAAACCGACGTTTTGCCTTCTAGAGGACACCTAGGATGCTCAAGAGAGGAGAAAAAGTGTGAGTTCTTAGTTGGCCACTACTGTGGGGAAGTCAAGCCCCATCTACCTCAACACGGGGGTGGGCTTAACTATCAGATATAATTGCTTCGTGGCTTTATCCATCTATCAAAATTAAAATCAAAATGATCCTCAGCTTTATTGGCTTATTGGAGAATAAAGTATCTCTCTCTCCTTTAGTGGCTTTATAAATATTACAAAAAAATTGAACAAAAACTCAAAATTACTTGTCAGAGTATCCTCCCACCAGTAATAATAATCTGACACGTCTATCAACTGTTACATTATAATACAGATTGTTTCCAGAAGATGTATTTCCTTAAAGGGTCTCTCTGCAAGGCGGCGGCGAGGCTAAAATTAGCTGTGCCAGCTGTGTTTTGCTGGGAGTGCTCACGCATGCCCGGAGCGTGGGCAGCCAGCCCTGTGCCTCTCCACTCCCCCAAGAAGGCTGAGCACTCCAGCCGTCCTTCCAGATGAAAGACTCCAGGTACAAAGGCAGTTTCCTCACAGGGACAGAGAGCCACCGAAGTGCAATGCACAGGATGCTGGCCCTGTGTAAGTTGGGCCGATTCTGGGATAACAGCCTGGGCTCTGGAGAGCTGAGTTCTGAAATCTGTGGACCAGCAGAGAGAAATAAGAGGATAGAGGGAAATCAGTTTTGTGCTTTCTTCCCTCCTCCCTCTGTCTGTCTCTTTCACTCTGTCTCTCTCTTTTCTCTCTTTTTGTTTTCTTTCTTTTTTTTTTTTTTTTTTAAAGACAGGGTTTCAGGTATCCTAGGCTGCTCTTGAACTTGACATGTAACAGAAAGACTTTCAACTTTTGATCCTCCTGCCTCCAATTCCCCAGCGCTGAGATTGTAGGCATGGATTAATGTGCCAGGTTCCTATGAGCAGTGTCGGTTGAACCCAGCACCCTGAACATGCTAGGCAAGCACTCTACCAACAGAGCTACCTCCTCATGACAAAAATGAGAGGGAAGGAACTCGGGTTGGGGAGCAGACAGAGGAAACCTGAAGGCGGTGTAACAGAGAAAACCAAGCCAGCTTCACCTGTGTTTTAAAGGGAAGATTCTGGACCTCAGTTACCCCATCCATAAAATGGTGAACGACATTAACTGAACCAGGCACAGAACTGGCATCAATTGCAAAGGCCTCGGGCCCATCTCCATGCTCAGTGAAGTCCAGAATCTAAAGAACTTGTCAAGACTCTGGAGATCTCATTGGTCATTTCCTTCTGCTCAGAGCCAGAATGCAAATTCCACTCTTCACCCTTCATGGTCCTGCTCTGAGTCCCATGGAACTGTGATCACATTGGAAATGTGAGCTTCTGACTCACACCTGGTGTGCCCTGTCAGCTCATCTTTCTCCTGTCAGCATGGGTATGCCCTGGGAAGCAGCTTTCCCTAAACCCTCACTTCCCAAGGTGTAGCCTGTCTGCCCTGCAGTTTTCCAATGACCTTCTAAGCTCAGAACAGCAGGCCGTATCCTCTGCAGCCGTAAGAATGCACACAGAGTCAGATACAAAGCATGCGCTCTGTGCATGCCTGGAGAACAAAATATTCTCAACACAGTGAACAACCGTCCCTCAACTCATGGCATGCTTTTGGAGTATTTCATTCTTTAAGAAACATTTGAAAAGCATGCCTACTTACTGTGTACTGCATGTATGTGTGTGTATAGAGGCCAGCACACAACCTTCCAGACTTGGTTTTCTCTGCTCTAATGGGTAGGTCCCTTTGCTGGGATTGAACGCAGGTAGTCAACCATCATGCAAGCAACCCTGCCAGGCCATCTATTTCACTCTTCATCCTCACTCAGACATTGACCAGGGCACAGGGTGTACAGAGACACAGAGGCCAAAAACGGGTTCTTCTTTCACAGCACTAGCTCCCAGTGAGGAGAATATGCCAAAACAATAAATGTGTGAGGTCAGAGGCCAGAAGCTACTTGGTTTTGTGAGGAAACTTAAAGCAAGAAGAAACAATCACTGGGATTTCACTTGAAAAGAATCATTAAGAAAATGTTCTCTTAAAAGGAGCCTCGAGGTCAAAGAGCTAGGGTGTGAACTAAGTCCTGGATTTTTGGTGCTATTGAATGTTTAGTGTTCAAATGCTTGACTGGAAGCCAGTCTGCCTCCAGGCCTGTCTCTTCCCCTGCTGTCTCCTTGTGCCACTGTTTCTTCGTTCAACAAACGCTGCTGTCCACTTCTTATAGTTCATATGATAATCACCTGAAAATGTTGGGATACCTTTAACATGTCACATACACTCCTTCAGATGCCAGTCTGCATCTGCAGGAAGCCATCCCGAAGAAACAGCCAATGGCAATGTGTTAGCCACAGCACAGAGGACACCGCGAAGTCAGCAAGGGGTAAAGATGAGGCTAGAGAGGAAATCTTTAGCTAAGTCAGCCTAGGTTTGGTATGATGGTTAATGGTGTCAACTTGACAGGACCTAGAATCTCATAGGAGATTATGGAGCTCTGGACATGTCTGTGAAGGATTCTCAAGATTAGGTTAGTTGAGGTAGAAAGACCCAACCTAAATATAGGTGTCACCAGGCCATCCGCTGGGCTCCTGGACTGAATGCAAAGGAAAGAGTGAGCTGAGCACCCACACTCGCCTCTCTCTGCTTCCCACTGTGAACACAATGTGACTAGTGGCCCCTCCTCCCGCTCCAGCACCTTCCCTGCCATCATGGACCCTGTACCCTCAGACTTCCAGCAAAATCAATCCTGCCTTCTTTGAGTTGCTTTTTGTCAGCTCTTTGTTGTAGCAACAAGAAAAGTCACTAAACTACTTGTTAAGGGCTTGGCTAAGCTGCCAACAGTGAATGGTGCAGAGGGATTCCATCCAAGTCTTCCCACCTGAGAGCCAGGCATCTTCTGCTGGAGGACATTGTCATTCCACATGACCCACCGAGCATCTTCAGACTGGTACGTGCAGCTTCCAAGACCCCAAGACCAGTTCTGACCAAGGACATTGGTATTGTCCCATGAACAACTGGCTCTAGAGATTCCCTGAAGGAAACATTATCTTATGGACAAACAAAAGACTGAATAAATAACTCCCCAGTCAAAGCAATAGGCTACTTATATTAGGGTTCTCAGCATGAGTGGATGCTATCAGCAGTTTCTACACAAATTGCTACATTCCAAAATGCTGTTCTATTTCATTTGATTATTGTAATGTACTGGGCCTCGGAATACTCATTGCACATTTAAGGCTTTCCTTAAGTAATGCAAAGTGGGTTCATAAGGATTGCAAAACCCATGTTGTCACTTACACACACCTCTTAGACACGCCAGTAGGCTGTGGCCATTCGGGAGGAGAGTTACTCTTGTCAGAATATTTGTAGCATTTCTGCTCTGATGAGAAAATGTGACTTTCCATTTAAATGGAGAAGAGAATGTAAGAGGCAACTAACTGATTTGAGTCGCTCTCCAGGTCAGAAGTCTGCTATGCTCTGGCAGCCAACTCACTAACAAATCCCAGGGCAGCAAAGGGCATCAGAGAGCATGGGTGTTCCCTGGTTCATGACAGGGCCCCACTGAAGACAAGCGTTAAAGTGGAATGGCTATTGTGCACAAACCATACGTAGGTGAAGCAGTGATGGAACTGAAATGAATGTCAGAGGAGCAAAGAGAGATGTCCACGGTTTGTCTTTAATCTATCCACCTAAAGAAAATCTGGATTCTCTCGTGGGCCTCCTGCTTTCTAATTATACGGACTGGGATGGCTAAACTTCATTGCCAATCTGACAGGATCTAGAGTCACTGAGGAAAAAGTTCTGGGTAGGTCTGTGTCAGAATTTCTCGATTAGGTTAATGGAGGTACAAAGACTAACCCTAAGCATGACCATGCCAGTACAGTTAAACCCTGGAATATTCTCTCTCTCTCTCTCTCTCTCTCTCTCTCTCTCTCTCTCTTCTTCCTGACTACCTGGCTGTCTCACACTCTTGCTGCTGTGCCTTCCCCTCCATGGCGGTTGGCACTCTCAAATCCATATCCAAAATAAAACCTTCCTTACTTAATTTGTTGTTGTTGTTGTTTAGCTATTTTGTCAAAGCAACAAGAAAGGTAATGAATACACAGACTTGACCAAAGGGAAATGACAGGAACAGCAAACATACAAAACAAAGTCAAGGCATAGGAAAGCACTAACCTGTTATCAAGAAGGACATTTATGATGCTGTTATTCTCTCATTTATAATGATTTGTTTATTTTATTTTACAGGTG